GATTCGTAACCATTACGCTACCAGAGCTCCTTAAGGGAAGGAAATTCAGGACATGGCGGTTTGTCTTCACTAGATACTCTGCCAGAGAGAGATGACTCCTCTGCTTGTACAAAAGATTTAAAGCCTTGGAATCCCTGTACAGAGTTGTTATGAGTCAAAACCAACTTCATGGCTCTTAATCACAACAATGGCTTATAGCTATTCTGTGAGTTCAGTACAGCCATTTGTATTACTCTCTATGATTGTTTAGAGTCACCCTTCAAGTTTAGCTCTAGCAACAGCTACTAAATAAATAGATGTCTTGGAAATTCTGATTTCCTCAATTATTTTCAACAAAACCTAGGTTTAAACATAGTTGCCTGGCTAGAAAGTATACCTTTATAGCCAAAAACTGGGCAATGACCTTTTAGTTTAAGTAGACTGTGTTCAGTCTCATGGTTTAGCCTTCCGGGGAAAGCTGCAAGGTTTCATGGGAAGGTGAGTGTTCTGGGTGTGTGAAAGACAGAGATAAATAAATACATCAGTTTTATGTTTTCAAAGCATATTGTTACTATAAAACAATAGGTTTTATAAGAAAAGGTGCTGATTCTAATGTGCAAAGTCTGTAACCTAATATGAAATTGTTGGTTCTCTTGTAGACTGGCGGAAGGAGCACTTTCAGATTTGTGAGTGATTTGGATGTTCTCTCTGGGAATTTCTGGCCTCTTCTTCGGTTCTCTGTGGTGATACAGATGCAGATACCATTGGTAGCAGTGGGTGGGTTGTGGAGGGGGTAGTCATGTAGCTGAAGTTAGAGGGTGTGATGATGTTGGTCCAAACTGGTCTTTAAAGGTACTGTGATGGATCTAACTCCCAAATCAGTCTTTTAATTCCTTATCCTGCGTGGAGGGCTGTGGACTGGAATCACTAGCTCTCAGTTCAGGTGCTTAGCCCTCTCATCATGGCACTAAGTAGGTCTGAGGGAAGGTGGCTTGTGTCCTTATTATAATGCAGGGGAGGGGCTGGCATGATTTGCTAACTCTCTTTACAGGGTCTGTCACTATGGATCCACAGTCTGCCCACCGCAATCTTGCCCTCTCTCAAGAAAACATGAGTGTGACCTGGAAGGACAACTGTGGAGTTCTGGGCAACAGCTGCAGTGTGTTGGGCACCAAGGGCATCGGGTCAGGGCGATGTTACTGGGAAATAAAAGTCAGTAATAAATACAACAGCAAGTGGGCTCTGGGGGTTTGTAGAGAAGATGTGGATAGGAATGGGTGGTTCAGACAGTGCCCAGAAAGGGGGTTTTGGGTTATGGAATTTTTTCACAATAGCTATTATACCGTCGTTACTTTTTATACAACAATAAAAGCATACACATACCAACGTCTTAGAAATGATTCCCATCACATAGGGGTTTTCCTGGACTACGATGGTGGGGATATCTCCTTCTACAACATGACTGATGGGTCTCATATTTTCTCATTCGCTCAGGGTTCCTTCTCTGGGACCCTCTTTCCATATTTCATGATTAAGTCAGGAAGTCCATCCCTCACTATTTGTTCCATGTTAGGTGGGCTCAAGGAGACACCTGTGCTTAACACATTTCCATTTTCTTTGGATGAGTCCATGAATCCTCCTGAGGAGGGGTTGAGATCTGGCTCTGGTGGTGATGGTGTTCTCCCAGGGGTTGAATCTCCATTACTCCCCTCTGGCCCCAGGGCTGTGTCTCTATAAGGACCTGTCTTTGCATTACTTCACTGTGGCTTGTCTTGGAGCTTCTGCCTCCTCAATGTGAAAGACTTTGAAATGAGTTCTGGATGCCACTAAGAGCCACATGTTTTGTGCTTTTGGATGTGTGTGACTCTGAGAATTGCCAGTTCAGGTCGTGTGCTCCTGTGTTAAGAAGAAAAAAGGTGACTTTTATTTAAGCTAGTTCACTGTTGGTAGAAATTGACAGTGGAATGTTGTTTTACTTTGGTTATGAAAAATACTCGGAGCATTTAATATTGTGTGTATATGAAACAAGAGGGGTTGAATCCTCTGTAGCATAGTTTGCTTTATGCAATTTGACTTTGTGCTGAGTGTGGGACCCTATGTCTACTTTGAAGGGTCTGGGCTATTTGATCAGAAATGTCCATCTTCAGAAGTTTCCTAGGAAATGGTGGGTTGGACCTCTTAGTAGTAAACATTTAAAAAAATTCATTGGTTGTTTAGTGGTATGCTGTTAAATCCCCACATATTTATATAATCTAGTTTTCTTTTGATTATTAAATTCTAGTTTCATCCCACTGTGGTAAGAAAAGATACCTTTAATGATATGCTTCTTTTAAATTTTATTGGGGCTTGCTTTGTGTCCTTGGATATGGTCTGTCTTATGGAATGGTCTATTTGCCCTTAAATGGATGCATTTTGTGCTGTTTGTTGACATTTTTTAATATTAAAAATTTCTCTTTTTAATTGACTGATGGTTTCTGTCTCTTTACTGGACTTGGACTGAATGTTGTTGTTGTTCTAGTTCACTCCCCTAACAGTGTCATGGGAAATATATTCATTGGGTCCTTGTTGAGTTATAAGCACTCTATATTCTCTATGGAGTCTTGGTGTGGTGCTGTGGATTAATGTGCTGGACTACAAAGTTGATTTGAAACACCACAAGGCTGATGGTTCAAGCTCACCAGCTGCTCCTCAGAAACCCTATACAGGGTCACTACGGGTCTGAACTGACTTGATAGCACTTAACAACAACAGCAACAACATATTCTCTTTGTGTTAATATAAGGTGCTCTGGTGATGCTATGGGTAAATGCTGACTGCTAACTGAAAGGTTGTTGGTTTGATCCCACCACAGCTCTGTGGGCGAAAGACCAGGCAATCTTCTGCTATAAAGATTAAAGCCTAGAAAGCACGATGTGGGCAGGTGTACTCTGTCCTATAGAATTGATATGAGTAGGAATTGACTGGATGGCACAAAACAACAAAAACACGAACACCACCATCTGTTAATATGTTACCTTGTTGTTGTTATCATTGTTTTTCTGGGTAGGATCTCGCTCTCCACTCATACTCTTCCTTCCTGATGGTCCTGGACTCATCTGTTCCTGAAATGAAAGATTAACTACTCTCCCCTTTTAGTTACACATCTTCTACAATTATAGTTGTGGCTATGGTGATTAACCTTGATAACAATTACACCATAAAATCCCATCCTCTTTTATCAGATCCATCTGGAAAAGAGGAAAACTATTCAGTGGGGATTTTATGTTACCACCCTCATTCTGAAACTAAGCACATTCATGAAAGTTTGTAAGCCAGCCACTTTGTGCTTCTATAGCTCCCCAGTTTTGATAGTGTCTAAATTTCCCTATAAGCCAAGTTCTGGTGTGGTCCTGCAGGCTGATGTGCTGGACTGCAAAGTCTGTTTGAACCGCAAGGTCAGCCGTTGAAACTCACCAGTTGCTCCTTGGAAACCCTAAACAGGGTCACTATGGGTCCGAACTGACTTGACGACACTGAACACCACCACCACCACCAACAACAAAGTCAAGCCAATGAGCTGAGGAAACAAGCTTCATCCTTGATATGGAGAATCCTCCCATTCAGTTAGAATTTTGAGCAACTGTGTTTGTAAGCAAAGGCACAGTTCATCAAAATGTAGCAATTTATGCTTGCTCACAGTACCAACCTTCTTTATCTTCATCTGGTTGAATTCAGCTAGTCATCCAACTTAGGTGCAAGTTTGGGAGTTCATGTATGCTTCCCCACACTTCAGACCACCTTACCACTTCACTCTCCACTATAGCCCCCAGTGATTAGGTCAGTGTCCATGGGCTCAGGAGTTTACACAACTCCCCAAACTTCAGACCAGACAGTCCTTCTTTTCTCTCTCATATCAATGTTAATGGGTGTCAATGGAACATGGCCAAATTCAGCCTGTATCTTCATTTTGCATTTTCCTTCACTTCAACTCATGGTTAGACCAGGGCGGTCACTAGAGAGCATACTAGACTGCTCATGGGTTCCCTTTGAGATTCAGT